CAATATTAATTGGAATTAAACGAAAATTTGTGGATATATACACAATTACATTCCGAACAACTCTACTTAGACACCAATACAAGTGTCTTAATAAAAATAAAAGTTATTAACTAAAAACTATTTTACGATTTTCGGATCAAACCCGATCCGAATCCGACCCGACTCGAAATTATCGGTTCGGGTTGACCTCAAACCCGATCCGACCCGAACAGAGCAACCATTTGTTATTAGTTTATGTTTTATTTATCATGTATACTAGATAGTATTATCTGTAAATATATAAATTGCCAGAGTTATACATAGTATTACAATCCTTGATGTAGATTAATAATAATTTTTATTCTAATAGTAAAATATTTATCCTATACATATAATTTTGGAAACTGACAATTAATTTTACGAAACCATAACAATCTGAAAGAGATTCGCACGAGAAATTACATCATTGAATTTTATTTTTGATTGTTTTTTACGAGACGCGGAATAACAAAAACGGCTCGCTATCAATATGGCGGTGTTGGCATCATCATCACAATAATAATCATTCAATAATTTAAATTATAATATTTACGTATCGCCACCACCACCACCATACATACCTTCTCGAGCACGTTTTTGTTGTCGCACTCGGTATAGATCGAATTCAGGTGGTCGATTTATTCCAGGGCCACCTTACGAAAAAAATTGTTCAAAGTTTGATTTAATAACGAAAAGATAAATAAATTGAATTTCGAAGTAAATATTATGATTTCCTTACCTTTGCCTTGGAAGTCTTCTTCTCCGTCATATTCCCTCCTCCTTCTTTTTCCGCCAGCAGAACCTCGTCCACCTCCTACTTGCGTCGAGCCCTATATATTATTTATAATCATTATTATTATTATCTTAAAAAAATAAATATAGCTTGTTTGACAATTTTCGTGAAAATAGCACATACCCTCATCTGCTTTCCAAAGAATTCTCCTTGTCTCGCTCTCCCTGCTCCTGGTCCACCCCCAATTCCGTACCCTCCCCTTACATTTTCTTGTCCGTTATATCCGCCCCTCGGACCTCCATCTACATACCTTCCGTCCACACCATATGATGATCCTCCACGACTAGGACTTCCTCCCCGCAAATCTCTTTGTCCTGGTGGAGGTAGATGAGTGTGTGGTGGTTGTAAATTACTGCCGCTTGCTATATTTGGGGTTGTGATATTTACAGTGCGCACTACTTCGGCTAGTTCTATTGGATTAATATAAGGCCCTGGGAATGACATCGGAGGAGGTAATGCTCCGAGGAAATTTGCTATTGCTTCGGGCAATAGCATTCCATTAGGCCCTCGTTTCCATATTACATGTGATGGATGTTGACTTGGTGGCGTAGATGCTCTTAAGGGTGGAGGACTTGGCCGTAACAATACCGAACTATCGCGTGTTCCTTGAACATTCTGGAATCCTAGTGGCTGAGAACCTGTATCTGGTGGTGGAACTGAACCTTGAGCTGCACTTCCTGAAGTAAAAGTAGGTCGTCTTAATTGATCTGGAGTTGGTTTATATGATACCCATTGGCGAAAATCAGGTCGAGGATATTTTTCGGGTTGTACGGAATTTAATAGTGCTTTGCGAGCTGTGTGTGAATCTTGTTGTTCTTGTGTTTTGGATACACGAGTACTTGGTTCAGCTGGTGGTGACGATTCGGGAATATCGATTCGTCGTTCTAATAAAAAATGTAGAATTGGAATTTATTTATTTAAAGTTTCCACAGGTTGATGATCGAAATTTTAAAGAGCTTACTTGTCGCTCCAATTTCTTGATCAAGAATTACATTAGTGTCCAAGTAACTATAACGTTCCGCGAAGCGAATTAAAGGTGACTCTGTATTAATCAAAAGGTGATAAACTAGTTAAATATCAGGCTGGAAGAATAAAAAATCTCGATTTAAAAAAAATACTTTACCATCTGAATACTTCTCTGCTCGACGTTCTTCGATTTTCCGTAGAGAGCCAATATCGCCGTAGTTATTTTCGTAGTCCGAGAATTTTTCCCAAACTATTTTCGCTTTGTCTACCGGCATTGTCAATAATGTTCTTTCGAAAAGGGCACGAGTATCTATCGATTAAATAAATTATTTTAATTCAGTAAAAAAATTTAACCATTTTGTAAAAATTTGATTAAATAAATGCTTACTATTGTCGTCGTTAAGCTCGATTAAAAAGTCAAGATATTGCACCACGTATTCCGGTTTATCGCCAAAAGATTTTAAGCCTAGTTCAAAAATTTTGCCGGCCACAGATTGGTCCTTACTGCAATGATATTCCATTAGAGCTATTTTTGTATTTAATGAATTGTAATATAAAATAAGCTAAATGACAAGAAATAGTGAACGTTAATAAACACGTTGATTTAAAAATCTTACCAGCAGCTACATATATATGATAAGTGCAGTATGGTGATTTTCGTGCTTTACTGAATATAGATCGGGCAGCTTTCACTCCCTATTAAAATACAATAAAAAAGTTAACAGTAAAAAACTAGAAACTTTGATGTCTACTAAAAATTATTATTACTTACTTCAGCACGCCTATAATATCGCATTAACATAACCCATACTATTGAGCATCCACGAGCAATTTTTTCGATTTCCTGTTTTTTTCTTGTTTCAATTTTTGCCCGTTCCTTCTCTTTTTCTTTTTCTTTTATCCGCAGCTGTTCGCGCATTTCACCATCTAATATAGCCGGTGATGAACTTGTTCCTTCCTCGGACCCTTCGACAGTAGGCCTTGCTAAACCATCAATTTCATCTTTGGCGATCTGTTCGATCTTTTTGATTTGTTCTGTTAGGTTGTTGAGAAGGGTTTCGTATGCCTGATGCGCTTCCGGAAGCTTTTTGCGGCGTTCTTGTAGTTCAGCATATGCGAAATGCACCAAAAAACTAAAAGGAACAAGTTAAAAAAAATATATTCGATTAAATTTGTTAATTGTCATGAGAAATTATACAATAATAGGATAGAATCAAACCTGGTGGGCATTATATCCATGGCAGTCTTTAAAAGATTTGCAGCATCTTCTTCCTTACTAATTTCGATCCAGTAATTCGAGGCTTCATACCTAGAATCATTAGAGAAATTCAATTAGTAAAGAATACTAAAAGTCAAGAAAAAGAACAGTAATTTACCATATTTCGGGATAATGACGCATGTACATCATTGCTTGTTTATATGCATAAACAGCCCTCTGCGCCAACTGTGCCTTGTCCTCAAATGCTAACGGGTTAGACTTTTCCCATGCTATCCACCGTTTCCATACATCCAACTAATGTAATCAAAAATTGAATTGAATTGAACAAGTCAATAATTGTTTCAATATAGATGCTTTCTGATTTATTAAGGAGTACATTTACTTGTTGTAATTCAGCCCGGTCCCATTTAGGTGGCACTGGAATAACGGTTCTACTGATTTCATCCATAAAACCTCGTAATTCTTTCAATGCCGTACGTGCTGTCATATATGAAGGAGATCTTTCTTGCAAGAATTTTTTAGCCTGCAGATGCCAAAAATTAAATCAATACTTGGTATTAAAAAAAACAGTCTCGATATTCCTTAGATGTTGAAGATTACCGTAATTTTATTTAGTCCATTTTCAAATGCATCGTATTCTTTCCATATGTGTTCTACATTATGAATCGGAATACTCGTTGCCCTCTTGAAAGTTTTCCGCATTTGATCCATCTTCTGCTGTTCTTCCCATAAGCTGGTTGTTTCTGTGTTTTTTAGGAAAAACAAGTAATCACCCCACAAATTTCCAGCTGCCATATCCATACCAACATGATTAAGAACAAATTCATAAGCCGATTCAATAATCTTTCGCGCTGCAGGCGAGATCGGGGTATTTGGTTTATCGCCGGCATTTTTTCGACGCACATAGTTCAAATAATGTCGCCACAAGTCAACAGAGAGAACGGGACGTAAACAACGTTTAAATATCTCTTCCACTTTTTCGACATTATTATGCTTTAATTCGAATTCTGCATATTGTATCCATTGGCGTGACTAAAAAAAAAGATTATCAAAGCAACAATGTTGCAATAGCAAATGATAAATAATATTGTTTACAATATGAAATTCATAAATAACACACAACATCCAATATTATCGGTCAAATCCAAAATACTTTCTTTAATAAGAATTATTAAAAGACACTCAAACACAAAAAAAAATGATGAGAGGAAAAAAAAATAATCTCGCACATCCCACTCTCATTAAACAACGATTCATTGTTAGATGCCGATATCTCAAAATTTATTACAAGATTTTTAAATTTTTCGAGATTTGAGCGAATTTTATACAGAAAGAACAGAATAAGGTTCACTCAAAGTCCCTGCACTTACCGACGCCGGATAAATTTTCAAAAACCGTTCAAAGGTTTCCCCGACTTTATCTACATCAGCTTTCGTTAATACTTCACCAAACAGCGTTAGCCAAGCTTCAACATCGAATTTATTTTCAGCAATGCGTAGCTCCATTTTTTCAATTTTTTCATTCTTTAATTTCTTCGGAGCCAAAGCACTTGGTGGTATTTGCCATGACAGTGCTGGCTCCGATTTTGAACTAGAAGTAGTTTGTGATGATAACTGCTGTGGCAAATCATTGATTGATGATGAGGATGATGTTTGATGATTATTTGTGTTCGGAGGAGAGTTCGATGATACAGGTAAAGAAACATTCTGTCGATTTGGTGGTCCTGAAGGAATTTCAGAACCAGCCGTCGCTGTAGAGGATGATGGCAACGATATAGATACTGAAAGTCCATTACTACTACTATTAATCATTTGATTACGATTGTTATTACCCTCACTTGATCTGTTCATTAAAATTTCTGATACTGGGTGTGTTAGAGAAGTAGTGGCAGAAACAGTTGGCACATTTGAATAATGATTAAAAGCGAAGGTCGAGTTATTATTAGAATCCGTGACCACTTGCACACCATTACTATTATAATCACCATTTTTGTTCGTTTTTTCATCGCCAACAATTTCAGGATAAACGTGGGAATTGTTCAGGATGTGAGATGCATTATTACTATTATTATCACTATGTTTGTTCCTTTTTTCATCGCCAACAATTTCAGACGTTATCTCAGGATAAACGTGGAAATTGTTCGGGATGAGAGACGAACCTGACCAAGCATTATTATTACTACTACTGTTATTATTATTGTTGTTGTTATTATTACCATTATTGATAGTATTATCCATCTTGGAATATTTTTACACGACTTGAAAAAGAGTGTATATAGAGAGGTTTATTTCGTATTATCAGAGTAAAGCAATTGAATACAGGAGTTCTAATGTGTTGCTCTTTTTTTTTTGATAACTAGAGGAAAAAAATAAAATCTAAACACTCGAAATTTAATATCGATATTTGATAAATAAAGTAAAAGTCGTTGTGAATAACAATAAACAGAGAATGAGCTATAGCTATAAGTATCTATGAACAAAACGCCGAATTACCCCCTTATTGAATTTTATGACCAATAAGAATTTTTTCCTTACAATTACTGATATATATACAATTATTATATATATCGCTATTATGGCAAATGATCGCGATTCGAACAAAAGCCCATCCGGATTGCTATCTTCATAACAATATATACATATATGTATATATATACAATAAATTTTGCCATTCCATTCCAACCTATGTATTATATATTTATGTAATAAATCATATTCACCCTATGCATAAGTCGTAACGCCTTTTTTTTCTCTTATATTATTAAACAGAGAAACATATTTTCATTCACTTAGTTGTTTATCAGGAAGATTCCTTGAAGTTTCGTTGTCTGGAAGCGTAGGAACTGGATGTGCACGTTCTGCTCTTTCCAGAAGCTCTATGACTTCAGAATCTTCAGTCTAGCACAACCAAAAAAATATTTCATTATGTATTTTTGACATTATTTAAATAAAAAACATTTACACCAACCTGGGTGAAATCGTTATACCAAAATCCAATACTAGACAGATGTACTGGTTGCAATGGGCAAATTACTTCGTCAACTTCTTTTGACATTTCCTTTATGGTGTCGGGTGCACCTACTGGCACGGCGATGATTATTCTTTTTGGTTCTCTAGTATCATGACAATGAGAATTACCTTATTATTAATGATAAACATTGTTTATTTTTCCTATAAACCTTACAATTTCTTGATGGACGCGTACGCGGCACGCATCGTAGCGCCAGTTGCAATGCCATCTATTATCCAAAAAAGATTTGTAAACAATGACATAAGTTTAATATTATTCAAATTGTTAAGTATTTGTTTTAACTAATCAATAACTTACCATCAACGAGGATTACCGTTCTACTACGAACATCAACTGATGATTTACCTTTTCGATATTTCTCATTACGTCGTTGAAGTTCCTTTTTCTATTGATTCAAAAACTTTGGATGATTATCATTCAAAACATGATATCATCGAAAGGAAAGGAAAGGATAAATTCTTGCCTCGCGCGCAATGACACGATGAATTGACTCGTCCTTAATATTCAGCTGATAAATCATGGTTCTGTTGAGGACTGTTGCAGTTTCGGTGATAGCCTGTAATCGAGTAATATAAATTATAGAAAACTAAGTGCTGATTAATAAATTATCAAATAATCATTTTATAGAATTAGTTAGCTTACACCCATCGCGAATTCTTCTTGCCTACATATATTTTATTATGAGAAAATAGAACACGATGAGATAATGTAAGCATGATTAAAAAAAAACAATGGATTTCCATGTCGTAAGTTCTTCACCTTTCACCGTATAAAATCTGACTAGGCTTTGGTTAAGTTTATACTTACCCTTCCACGCCAATCTTTCTCACTAAGAAAACGTCCAATGGTGCGCCTAATCTCGCTGCAATTTGATAAGCAACCGGAACTCCTCCTCTATTGATGAAATCAAAATTGAGGTTAGCCTTTATTTAATCAAATCTATCATTCCATTTTATATTTAAAAATGATCAATGTATTATTTCTTTAACATTAATTCGTGTTTGAAATATCTCATCAAAAGCAAGCACTCATTAAATACCTTGGCAAAGCCAACACAACAATATTCTCCGTCTTCTCTTTACCCTCTTCCCCCTCTACAATACCATACTGCTTTTTAGAAAGTTCTCGCGCGAGTACTTGACCAGCTTCGACGCGGTTTCTGTAATTTTCTGTCATTGTTTTCTTACTTTATAGTTTTGGAACACACAATTACATTCTAAATATTTTGTGAAAAACATTCTAAATATCATATCAATTGGTGTCATTTTGTCGTCATTGATTTCCACACGAACTACTGAACTTGTGAAATGAGTCATTCATCTTCAAAATTTTTGATCGCGTTTTTTATTCAAATAGATTATTCTATTATTATATATAGTTATTTTATCTTTTAAACAATGGAGAACCCTCTTGACTCGAGTGAGCAGGACCACTTTTCAGAGGACGAAAATGAATTACTAGAGGAGGAAATTTCTCTGCTTGAACAGGCGTCGAATCCTCCGTCCGCAGATTTTTATGGTGTATTGAATGTTGAAAAAGAAGTGGGTGAAGGTTTTCTTTTTTGTTACTCTTGAATGGAGAAGTAAAGTTATTTAGTTATTGTAGTTGAGGGAGACAGAAGTGTAAACTGAATTAGTAATATTTGTCCTTCAATAAGTCTTTCATTTATATAAATAATTGAGACATTGATAATGATATTGTAATTGAATTAATGATTAATTTTGGTCATCTAAAGGCTACAGAAGATGAAATTAAAGAAGCCTACAAACGCCTATGTCGGACCTTCCACCCCGACAAACACCTAGATCCAGAAATAAAAAAAATCGCCGAAACCAAATTTCAGGTGATTCAAAGAGCTTACGAAGGCAAGGTATCCTTTACACATATATATACGTATAATATTTTCTCGTGATATTGTTATTTATAATTTTGCACGCGTTTCAATTTTAGATGTTATCACATTCAAATTCATTATCCTTTTTTCCTTCCCTTTAATTTTCCCCTCGCTAAATAAAACATCCCGTACATATTTATATGTCACACACCCATAGTGTTGACCGATCCTACCAAACGAATGATTTATGACATGTTTGGTGAAGAAGGACTAAGAACTCAGTGGGAGGTCGGCGCTCGATTAAAGACTCCTCAGGAGGTAATTTGATTTTTTTAACGCATGATATTTTATATAAAATTAATATATTAAAGTTTTTTTTTGCCATTTTGAAGCTTCGAGAGGAATTTCAACATCAAGCCCATCTTAAAAAAGAACAAGAGATCGAAAATATAGTGAAGCCAAGGGTATTTTATATATATATATTAATTATGGAAATATTAATTTGTTTGCGGTCATTATTATCTTTTCACAATTTATGCACTATTCTTTCCGTTTTAACATCAGTCAGATGTTCAAATTAACATTGACGCCTCGCAATTGTTTAATCCTTATGATGGAAAAGCGAAAAAAGCTCTATTTATAACGAGAATACCTTCCGAAACTGAGATTACACAATTATTTTTAAAACACTCTCATGAAGTAAGTTCGATGAAACTAACGTTAATAAAGGAAACGAAAGATTATCAAATAATTCATTTTTGCACTATTTTGGGCTTTTAGATTCCATTAAATGAAAAAACGCACACTACATTTGTTGGTCAAATGATTTCACGAAATGGTGTTGGTGGGGGAAACGTTGTTGGAACTTTAAGATACGCGTTTTCGCCGAAGTTCTGGGCTGAAGTAAGAAAAATGTCTTTGTCTTAAATATCTTTCGATAGTATTCTTATGAATTATCTTCTTAATCTGTAGATTGGATCATCTGTGGCATCACCGAGAATTGTAAGCACCAAAGCATTTTATACTATTGATCCTGATAGGTAACGTTAATATATTCATGAATATATATCTCCCTTTGTTAAAATTACAAAAAAATCATTAACAATTTTCATTTTCCATAATTAGTTTTGTTACAATAACTAGTCAATTATATTCAACGAGCTTGCCTCCAACACTTAACATTACGGGTGGTCGCCGTATAGGTACAAATACCACTGGATATTTGACTTATAAGACCGGTGCGTGGACATTGGGACCTTGGGGTAAAGGTGATACATCTCCGTTTAGGCGACGTGAAAAATCAGCTGTAGCAATAGGAATAAACAATGGTCAAGATAAATCCGGATATTCTTTAGAATTACAGGTTCACTTTATTTTACTCCATCATTTTTTTATATTTATATAATATTATTAATAGTTGGTTGATTAGGCGGGTATAGTCCAATCACATATATCCATGAGTTTTAATCGTAAATTTGCTGAAGATTATAATATTCGTGGATCAACTACTATATCGACTGCAAGCGGTTTGACTGTTAGTATTGGAGGAGATCACAAAGTCTCTGCAAATTCTCGGGTTGCCATGTTTATGGAATTTGGTATTCCAAGTGGTATCACTTTGAAAATAAGGTATTCAATTTAACGTTATTAGGTTAATATGAATATAACAAGATTCTAATTTCTTTAATGGATATTATTAGGTTTGCTCGTCTTGGGCAACGTATAACAGTACCTATTCTATTATCTTCAGACTTTGACTCTAGTCTCGTATTATGGGGTTCTCTAGTTCCATTCGCAACTGTTTACGCGATAGATCAACTAATATTAAAACCACGAAGAAAAAAGAAAAAAGCAGAGTAAGTGCCCAAAGTTTTTTTTTTAATCGGAAAAGACGCTAAATTGGATTCATTATAATTGATATTAGAAAATTAGCTGCGCTACGCGAACATCATGCAGAATTCATCGCCTCTCAAAAACGTGAAGCTGAAGAAACAATTCGACTATTAAAACCTTCGATCGAGCGTAAAGTAGAGATAGAGAGAGCAAAAGAAGGTCTTGTAATTTTGGAAGCTTATTACGGTAACTTTAAACAGACAAGTGGAGTTTCCGCACTGGACAATCAATTCATCGTTGATGTAACAATACCAGTGCAGGCTTTAGTGAATGATTCACAAATGACAATTCCAGGTGGTCGTTCAAAGGTATAGTATAGAAAATGCAGTATTGAATTTCAGCATGGTTTGTTATTAATCATTTCATTATAAATTAGTCTAGTATAATGGGATTTTATGATCCTTGCATGGGAGAACCAAAACAGCTGAAAATAAAATACATGTTCAAACGAAAAATTCATGAAATTATTATTGATGATTTAGCTCCGTTGGCTTGTCCGCTAAGATGTAAGCAAGTCAATTTTTGGTATTCTTATTTTTTTTTATGTTTGGCTAATACATAATTATCAATTTATTAGCACATATAATACCAAACGAGCGATAGCACTTGGGAAATATCGGAATTTTCGATAATAATAATTGAAGTATAATAGTAGAAGAGAAAATTTATATAATTAATGAGAGACCTTATTTGTGGAGATGTATTTTTTTTGGTTTCATTTGCGAATCATCAAATTCTTTTTTCATACTCAAAATTCCTTCAATGGTTGATTGTTTTCCTGTCTCGGGAACGCTTGCCCAAAGTCCCTCTAAATCATAACGAACACGTGCTTCCTCAGTGAATAAATGTACCATTACTGAACCAGAATCAATCAACATCCAATCCTCGGAATCTCGTCCTTCTATAATAGGATAATTATCGATTAGTGATCCGGTTGGATCTGTTTTTTCAGTGCGTTGCTGCAATTTATCTTTTAACTATAATTAATTATATTATTGTGATGATTTATATACGCTGCTCCTATTTGCTAATATTTAGATCATCATTATCATGGTTATTTATCGCTACCTACCATTTTATATACACCGTCCACTAGACCGCCTAGATGTCTTGGTCCTTTTCCTTCTCCAACAATCATCCAATCTGTCCAATCACATTTATTTCTTACGTCTATTATTGACAAATTCGACACACCTTCATCATCCAATACACGAACAATATCAATCACTTTTGAGCCATACTTTTCAAGTGCATTGTCTTTTTTTAAATCGGCCAATATGCTCTTTTGTGAGGGATAATCGATCATTCCTGGTGCTGCAGCTCTTCTTTGCCACAAGGGGATATATTTGTCATCTCCTTGATCAGCATAATTACTAGAACTTTCGTACTTTGGGTCTACAAACCAAGAAAAGTCATTTCCATTTTCATCCTGGTTGTCATCTTCATCTGCACTTAACTCAATATCGCCTTCATAATCATCACTCGCACTTTTTTGTTTTTCATATTTATTCTCGCTTGCTTTTCGGGATTCTCTATTTGGGTATAATTCTGGAAAATCTTTTGGATTAATGATTTCTTCAGAATCCTTATCTTCATCGCATTTTTCAATATCGCCTTCATAATCATCAACAGAGTCACGATCGTCACTTTCAAAATCATCGTTATCCTCGTCATCGTCATAGTCACTTTCAAAATCATCGTCATCGTCATCGTCAGAGTCACCATCAAAATCATCGTCATCGTAGTCATCATCGTCTGTTATTTCATAGGAGTCAGAATGATCATCATCGTCTGAAGTTGTTTCATCGGATCCGGAGTAATCATCTTCATCTTGAATTCGAGCATTCTTATCATTACTATTAACTTTTCTCGTCAAAAATTCATTACGAGTCGCTAAAGACGCGAAAAATCGCGTACATTCTGCTTCTTTTGACCTTTTTTTGGATAATAGACCTGTACACAACTTTGATGATACCCTTGCATTGCTTAATTTGTGAAATTCTTGGTATTTCAGAGAGTAGAAAAACGAGCGTTTTATTTTTGAAAAATTTGTATCGAACGGAGTCGTTTTTCGTAAAAGAACGCGATATTTGTACATTGTTCTTAAACGAAAATTTTTTCGTTGATCATTTCGAATACGTATGATGCAATTGAATCTGTGCTCTGGTTTGAGGTCACGAGATCATTATCGACCATAGCCACAAAATCGAAACTTCTTAAAGGAAATTGCCCAAAGAAAGTGTTATTTTTGTGGCTGAATCCAATCAAACCTGAAGCACAATGATCTCGTGACCTCAAACTGAGGCACAGATTCAGTGTGAAAAGTTTATAAAGGCACAGAGAATATGGTAAAATAGTCTCGATTATGGATCTAAATTTTTGACTAAAATTTCGCGCACTTTCCTTCAATTTAATTTTTGGAGACTTAGTACTATAAAAATATAATCATGAATAGAAATATACTTTTAAATATAATGATACAATATTAATCACTAATTAAATCAGAAGACCGCTTAATTTTCAACGTATTAAATGAATTTCGGAGCCTAAAGCCCAAATTGAATATACGATTTAAATGGTTCATTACAAAATTTCTTTATTATATAACAACCACATCCGTCCACAAAAATAAGCATCGATTCAACTTAATATTTACCTTCAATAATAACAAAAACAAGCAATTATTCCCGATTACGACAATCCCCCCACATTCTCTTGAACTTGCTGCATCAACCCACTCTTATCAGCTCCAACTAACTCCTGATGAACAAAAAATAATTGTTTTGCATGACGAGCAATTTTTCCGGTTTTCGCGTCGCGAGAGTGAATCTCCGAGAGATAATTTGGTCGGATTTCCCAGGTGGTGAATAATTTTTTTGATGGTGCAAGAGCTTGGATTGGGAGGGTGGTTAGAATTCTGCGGCCTAGAAAGGAAAGTGTCTCGATGGTTAGTGGTGTGTCAATAGTTATGATTGGTGATGAAGTAATGGATGAGATATCGGAGGAGGATGACGAAGATTGTTTAGGAATGTATATTTTTGTTGCATATGGGGCGAATAGGAATGTTATTAGACCGGTTGATGCTGCACTTGTTATTATTGCTTTTAGAATTGGAAAATTTGTTAATATATTAAATAATTGATTCCGTCACATTTCTTCGTTAGATAGTATAATAAAAATAATGACACACACCAACCAGGGCTAAAATACTTCTCGGCAACAAACCCATTTGGTTATCTACTGTAAAAATGAGTGGCGTCATGCTCGTAGTGAAAAATAACGAAGCAATTGAAAAAATTTTAAGACGTCTTGCTGGATCACCAAACGGTCCTTTATATATTAATAAATGTTCTTTTTCGTTAAATGGCAAGACTGTAAAGATGGATCGTGGGTTTGTTGTAATCGTTGTCGTGGTAGAAGCAGTAGTGGTAGTTGTATAACTGAGACATTGTAGAGTTCGAGTTTTATGTTTATGCTGTATTGAATATTTATGATATTTACAAGTTGAAACGACGACGCGACTTAAAAGTAGTGGTTTATAAAAATACATATTTTCAGTTTTTTTTTGAACGAGTCATAAGCTGTTTTATCGAGTTTATCACGTGCTTCTAACCCAGATGACAGATTTTATCGAATCCAATTTCATATTTCCTAATATGGGGAACGTCTAAATTCATGTAGTTACACGTGATTTTTAATCCGATCCGAATTGCAACCATGTGACCAAAATTGAATAGCCAATAAAATATTAGTGTTGGCTTATTAGTAACAATGAGCTTTAACATTTTTGAATAAATTCACATTAAAATAATAACAAAAATAAATTAATTTTAATATTAAAATTGATTTTTCAAGATTATTTTCATTTAAAGATTTTCATTTTATCAATACTTATTAAAGAACTTGTTGATTCTGATTACAATAAAATTAATAAAGAAAATATCAAATTGTTTTAATTAAATAAATCAAATTTAAGTTCACAAAATTTTGAATACAATTAGCAAAATATCATTATCTTATAATTTGTTTATTATTTTGTGATTTTTTATATATTATAATCTTTAATATAAATAATTAATTTTTTGAAAATTATATATATAATATTCTGAAATTTTGAGCATAAAAAATATTACAAATATTAATTATTGATATTTTTTTATAAATTAATAAAGCTTCTATATCAAATATTATATATTTATAACTTTCATATTTCAAATATAATAAATTAATTATTTTAGAATATAATATTCATATTTAGTAATCTAATTAAACAAAAATATTATAATTAAATTATTTAATTTAAACAAATCAAATAATAATATTTTTGTTCAAATTAAATTATTAAAATATTATATATTAAAGTAATTAATTTATATTTATTAATTAATTTTTTATTAGAAATTAATTACTAAAAAAATAAATTAATTAATTTAAAATATAATATCTTGATTTTTAATAATTTTATTTGAATAAAAATAATATTATTTGATTTATCTAATTAAAACAAATTGAATATTATTATTTTTATTTAAATTAGATTATTAAAAATTGATTTTTATTAATATTTTACTGAATAATATTATTGAATTATAAATATTTTATATTTTATTAAAAGAATTTAATTATATAAAATAAATAAATAAACAAGTAAGTAAACAAATAAATAAGTAAATAAATAAATAAATAAATAAGTAAATATTAAATCAATAAAATTAAAAATAATTAGTAGATATAAATTTATATATTAATTATATTATAATTTGTATATATATTATTATATAATGAATTTTTATTGAATATTTTACTAAATATTTTATATTTAATTATTATTAAATTATAAATATTTTATATCTTATTACAATATTTTAAATATAGATAAAGATTATTATTTCTTTTTATAATTAAAATAATTTTTTTAGAATATTCTAAACATAAACAAAAAAATTTTAAATATAAATAAAAAGATTTAAATTGATATTTTTCTTATAATATTAATTTAAAATATAAAAATTTTACAGTTAATTATATAATTAGTTTTTACTATTTATTTATATATTATCAAAAAATAAGTTTTAGCTAAAAAATATAAATAAAAGTTAATTAAAATTTTAAAATACAATCAAACCTCTTTATAGTTATGTCTATTTATAATTATATCTTTTTATAGTTATTTTATTTTGCTTTATCATTTACATATAAATATAATAAAAAAATCTCTCTATAGTCATCAAATTTTGCTTTTCCAAGTGTGATAATTATAAAGAGAATTATTATTATAATTTATAAATTTGTTTTTAAAATTATATTACTGATAATACATTACTCATAAACTCATCTTCAATCTTGTATTGTTAATAATATATTATTTACCTTTGATCTCATATTGCTAATAATACAAATATTATAATCTTTATAATTTTGACTTTGAGATTTTGAGAACTCTTTCTAGCAATTCAAATTATTGTATTAAAAGAATACAATTATTACCAATCTTTAAGTGGATTTGTTACTAGTACTTTTAGTACTTATTCATATTTAGTTTAATAATTATAAAGTATTATTAATACTTTGAATTATTATTAAGATATTGAAAGTTCACTTTGAATATTTTCTTTAATTTTTATAAATATCTTTAAGTATTTTGAAAGTTAATTAAAAAAATAATAATATTTTAATTATTACTTTATTATATATTTTTAATCATTTATATGAGCAAAGTTTGTATTTTATATAGAGTAAATAGTCAAGTGTAAACTTTTTTTACACCTCTTTGACAAAATATTCTTGTTTTTTGTATAGTCACTTCAGCACATTTGCTATAAATATTATACAATTCTTGAATTAATATTATAGTAGCTTAAACATATTTGCCAAGAACATTATAAAAGTTATTATCTTAATACTAGATTATTTGAATATATTTGTAATAAAATTTATTAAAGTTATATTAAATAAAGAAATTATTATTATTATAATTTATAAATCTGTCTTTGAGATTGTATTACTGATAATATATTATTCACAAACTTATCTTTGATTTTATATTGCTAATAATATGAATATTATAATTTCTATATTTTTGACTTTGAAATTTTGAGAACTTTTTTAGCTGTTCAGATTATTGTGTTAAAAGAATATAATTATTATCAATTTTTAAGTAATTTTATTACTAGTACTTATTCATATTTAATCTAATAGTTATAAAGTATTATTAATACTTTGAATTATTGTTAAAATTTTAAAAATTTTCTTTGAATATTTCTTTAATTCTTATAAATATCTTTGAGTATTTTGAAATTCAATTAAAATGGTAACAAAAGTTTGATATCTCTTCTGTGGATCAAAATCTCAAAAATGTTATTTCAAAAATATTATTATAATAATTATTAAATCATCTTTGTGAATTAAACTTTTAAATATTATAAAGTTCTATTATAAAAGAATAATTATTAGTAAAAGAATCTTCTATGAATTAATAAAAATTTGAAATCAATTATCTGATTTCAAACTTTTGTTTACTAAGTATACTATTTAAATTTCTCAAGAATAATATATAAAAATATTAATAAAATAAATAATTATATTTGTATTATTATAAATTATAACTATTAATAAATTTAATTTATATATAATACTAAAAATCTATAATTATTAATTATGTAACAAAATATTCATGAACTTCAATATCTAAAACTTTTTATAAAAGTGTTATATTAGAATCTAATTAATAACTTTGTAGAACTTATCTCTAAGAACAAAGTTATCAATCAGATTTTTAATATAACACTTCTATAAAAAGTTTTAGGCATTTAAAGTTATGAATATTTTGTCACGCGATTGGCGATTATAGATTTCCGACCCCATAGTTTATCGAAAACCAAACGGGTCTTCAAAAATCCACGTTTACGTGATTACGAAAAATTGACGTTAAAGGTTATTTTATCGTTTGGATTAGGATTATGGTTAGGGCTGAAGATAAGGTTATATGTAAAATTGCTTTCCGACATTTTTTTTAGTACTTCAAGCTAGATTTTGACATCTGTTTTCCACATTTTTTATTTTCTTGTGTCAAAGACCACGTGATTCAGCACTCTCTTGTAGGTCGTGACGTTGAATAGTTGCATGAGTCGTGATCATTCCAGGATTAGGATTAGAACGAAAAGGGGTTATTCCATAATGAATAGCTATCGCTACAAATTCAATACCAATTGTATCCTGCTGAAGCCAATTGATGTTGTATAACGCGTGATTACGGTCACTGTCATTGCCATTGTTTTAGAATACCTGTAAATATTCAACGATTTGTTAAACAATACTGGTTACATTTTTTCAAACAGAAACCCTTTCCGAAAAAGTTGGTCGTTGAAACCACACACCTACATCAGGTCGTAGTTCTCTATTGTTGACTACACATATAGCATTGAGAGATGTATGCCAATTTTGTCTTTGATCTTCAAGTGAAGTTACAAGCTTATGATGAATAACCTCCTTTAAGCCAGAATTATTCTGAATAATACAAAAATCAGTGAGAATATACATGGGAGATGTGTAAGCCAGAATGAAATTTACTTTGATAAATAGACTATCTCCGATTCTTTCAGCATTGAAAGCACTGTGAATAGCTTCACGTACGTCAATTTTACGAAGTTCTTAGCAGGAAAATTGATCCTTACAAAACCAGGAGCTTTTCCCTTCAGTTCTTGTTCGATCTTAACGTATAACTATAACTATAACAAAAGGCTGTTAACTATATCTCACTCGTTCTCCGTTATTTTTAAGTACTATTTAAATACCTCGTCAGGTCGGGAAGTTGACTTGGATTGCGTGACAATATATTTATTATTCATTTAACCTAACGTTACAAAAAAAGAATACTGCGAGCGACAATAACTACATGCATATGAGCCTTTAGAATCCAAAGTTGTCATATTAAGATAAAGCTATCGCTACTATACAATAAAGTAACTAATGTAGTAACTAGAAAAAATCCAAGTGGTCCGAATTTCCCAATCAATTAATCATAACATAGATTATATCAGACGATTCGTTCTTAGTAGAAAAGTGGTCAGATCCAGTGATCTCCGATCCCGATGCCGACCATCCGATATCCCACTTAAAATTATAATATATAATATTAAATAAAATTTCGGTTAGGTTTAGGTTTAGAGTTAGGGTTATCGTATATATAGCAAGCATTTGTTTGAATTTTTGCGTTGTTCGTTGATCTTGCGATCAGAATCGGAGATCACGGGATCTGGAAATTTTTTCTACTAATTCGTTCGATTAGTATTATAGAGCTAACGTGTTCTCCATGTGACTACTGCGCCATATAGAACAAGTGGCTTCGTGAATTTTTTAACTGCTAATTAACTCGGAATTTTAAATAAATTTGCGTCTCATATAAATATTATCATCAAACGTGACATTCGAGATCGATTTGTTGAGACAGCGAATTGACGAACTTTTGGCTGAGACTGCCAAGGTTAAAACTGAGAATGCGAAATTAAGACAGATTATGGAAGAGAATACTGACAGACTCGCCAAACTAGAGCAGAACGATAAATAAAAAGCCGAGCTCATTGCAAAACTAAATTATGATATCGGGGAAATCAAACAGGACTGAATTGCTGTGTTTTAGGGCAACCGACACATACATACCGAAATCTTCCATTCATTCAGAATCACCAGTATGCCCCCAGGCCCAAAGGGACGATCCTAGAGGGTCATCTACTCTATCACCTATCGAGGATCACTCTGATAAGGAGAGCTTACAAAGTAAGGAGTCTTTGACTCACCACGAAGCAGGTCATGACTAGCACTGAACCCAAATCATTAGAAGATAAGTAAGTCGACGAATTCGTGGGTTCAAAAAATAAGGAAAAGGTTAGTAACGAGATAAAATAGAGAGAAGAAGCTTCGAGATCAAAATCTTCTAAATTATCAAACCGTTACCATCAAAATTCAGAGTCATCATGCAATACTACTGGTAATGATCAAAACTCGGAATTATTATGTGATACGAAAACTATTACCATTGGTAACGATCAGAAGACAATAGTTTCGTGTGTATTAAAAAACTCTTATAACTTTGAAAGAGCTGGTTACACTGATGACGTAGATTCTTCTGACTCTGAATCGTATAGCTCTGAGAGTAATTCTTTCGATTCTGAATCTGATTCAGAAGATAAACCAAATCTTCCTATAATCAGAGCATTACAAACTCCTGATTATATTACTATGTGAATAATTATCTTGAATTGATAAGCGTTGGTTCACTTCTGAATAATCATTGCTCGGAACTTTTTGGATCACTTTTCTCGAAATAAATTTTATGCAATTTTAATAAAAAGAGTGACATATATTACGTAATATCGAGTTACTATAAAGATAACCCCTCCCCCCCCCCCCCCCCCCCCCGGTGAGATTTTTATTATATTTAATTGGCTAATTATTTTTGATCACGTGGAAGATGAGATTTTTGAGATCCCTCTCCTCTCTGATAATTACGCAATGTCATTCCCCTAACTTGATAATCAATAATTATATAAAAAATTCCTCTTACAGATTGAGGATTTTTTATTTTATTTTGCTTTCAAGAAGTTATAATGATTTAAAATTTTTACTAATATAAAACAAAGAATTCTGATTGGTCAAATTAATTATTATGTATAAGATCTACAATAAATTTTGGCGTTTTGGCGCAGTATTGGACGGTTTATGCTGTCGGGTACTGTATGCATCCCAACTTTCCGGACACCGTGACAGTAATATTAGCGAAAGGAGTAAAATCCCGATTTATCAAACAGGATATTCACATATACATAAGAATTAGATAGTTTTATTTCATTCGTAATGGTAGAATTATAATAAGACTATTTTGTTGGTTCAATAAAAAATAATTGATCTCCAAGTATTATATTACAGAGAGCGTGTTTATATATTTTCATTGCAATATCAAAAAACCATTTTTTACAAAGTTTCATGTAATTCTCAAAAATTCCGGTGCCTACTGTGAACATGAGTATAAACCATCTTATATCGATATCAAGGAAATTATAAAATAGCGCATTTACTAAGAGCATAGGGTCAGGGTAACGGATCCTAAAATTTTTACTCCATTACTATTAAGTATGGAGTCCGGCGTTACAACGACATGGTGCAAAACCCTTGTAGTCAAATAATAATAATAAATTAAAACAATTTTTATCTTTTCTGTTGACGTTGAGAATTAAAACTTTATTTTGATACAACTCAAATCAAACACTTTTAAATCACAATTACATAAAAAAGAAATGACCAAAGAGAAAATAGTTAGTTTAAATTCTTCTCAAAGGCGTTATGACCACTCAACTTCAGACAAACCGCAGCGAAATCACTTCACAATTTAGATATCGCAAGATCCAAGAATTCTATTTTATTGGCACTTGTTTCAGTCTAGTGAGAGTATTTCGTTATGTCTACTAATTTAAGTTCACGCAACTTAAAGCTTGATCTCTTGGCTGTAGATGCAAATATTTCGGAATTTTATGTGTTCTGCGTGATTTTGGAAGCTTGGGATTTATTTTTAAAGGTTAAATTTAGAGAAAATCTAATCGAATTGTAGCGTCTCAAAATACACTAACAATTGTGTCTCTTTAATGAACCGGGAACACCTCACTTTGATGTTCCTTATTGGGAACAAAAATCCAAATGATGACAATGAATTTATTAAGAGTAAATTTCTTAAGAGTAAATTTCTTATTCTGTTGTGGCGAAATTCCTTTAATTATTAGTTATAAAATAATAATGGCAAAGACAAAAAACTTCCAAGTGCAAGCTCTTCACATACGTTGGCAGGCGAACACCCAAACAGGCCATGTTATTATGAAAGAATCAATTGCTAAAACTTTTCACATTACCAGAAAATTTCATTACCCAAGAATTTCCTGCCTTCCCCGATTGCTCTATTAAAAATCAGCAGATTTAAGAATATTATTCTTGTCAAGATGATTTGTTCACAGTACTGAGATACATCAGAACTATTCAATTCTTGGCAAGAAATTGCGTGCTCGTTTTTCTCTATGCAAAAAAATTCAACTTCTCATCGCAACCGTATAAAGTCATAAAGTCATGCGAAAAAAACGTCTTTTTGATTGTTCTACTACCTTGACATATTTTTATTATCAGGAAGTGTAGCATCTATATAATATGATACTATATAACGATATAGTGTTTAATGATTTTACGTGACAATAATCAGTGATAAATAATGCTATATTATCGTTATCGTTATCGTTAATTTATAACGATAATATACTCTACAATGCATCACGAGCGTAAGTTTTTATTTATTTTTGAGATTAATAATTCTTTCTTATACTGTATACATTATGTACCTAGCGTCAGAGATGTATAGAACCAACTGTCAAATCATATTAAGATGAATTTGCCTAGACGTTTGTTCTTTCAACAATCCCCGAGGTGATTTACAATATTAGAAAATTGCTTATCGTTATATCAGATTGAGCTGATATATCTGGATTTTAGTGGTATAGTAGCACTGGGTAAAAGTCATGGAAGTTACTTCATCAATGCAAATCCCAATGTGAATATTACTTTTTGTATGTCACTTTAGCAGTTATTCTGTTTTATGAAAAAATAATTAAATTATTTTATTTATAGGTAAAAGCCTTAAGAATTTTGATCTTGTGCCACGATATTCTTTTGGACCTCGTTACATGCCAATTCTTTGTTCAGTCTGTTAAAATTGGTAAGCTCTCTAGTTGATGGTATAATAAGACTGATTTTGGGTATGGATTTTAAAACAAGGTTACTAAAGATGGAACCGCTTTTATTTGAAATTTTATTATGCCGCAATTGTGTTAGACAGTGGCATTGGTGTAAGCATTTCATTGCATAAAACAGTTATATGGTTGAAAGGGATAGTGATTGGCGTACAGTCGATTTGGCTGAAAAGCAATTTATTGGGCTAGATTCGGTGTGGCCTTTTTGTTGCAGTAGAAAATAACGAGTCATATATGGCTGAAGTGAAAATTTTGCAAAATTATTTTTAATTCATTCAGCACTTACAGTACGTATTGCTGCACTACCAGTTATTCTATGGTTCAACACGCTTTCGCCAGCTCAAATTTGAGAATAACGTCGTCAAACAGAAGGCTATATCTACTTTGTGTTGCCGAGTCCTGGGTAAACAAAAAAATTGGTATAATCACAAAGTTGTTGTTACACATTTTTCGTCATCTTCTCGTGGTCATGTGTTAACTTTTTCATAAGTTGGGGCGTAGATGTATCACCAAGATAGTTGAATTCCGGTTCGGCATTGTGTTCTAAATGTGTGATTGTTTAAAAAGACATCATAACCGGCATATACTCTTATGATGTGCCGAAATGTCTGTTTGACACTTGTGCATCGAAATGTAGCACGAAATATTAGAAGTTGAAAGCTGGATTAACGCGAAAAAACAGAATCAAACAACCTCTGATATGATGTAGCGGTAGACTATCTTAAAAAGTCCTTAATAATTATAATCGAAACTTCAGAAGATTCTAACGAAAACCTTCGAACTATCCGGAATGAACAGAACTTTTTAGAAGAAATAAAAAATTAATATTAATGCCATTACTCACCGGCCCATAGTTGGAGAATTGTCTATATAGCTCTAAAAAGGTGGGTAATCCAAGAGAGTAATGACGGTAATCCTGTGAAGCTATGGTCGTCCCAGTAGCGCATATACACAGTGACTCTTTATAGTGTATCCTCTTTTATAGCGGAGACTAATTAAATTCACGATATAGTGGATAATATCTCTAATAAAATCCACTCGATATAGCAGATTTACAAATTTTCAAAAAACTCACGATATAGTGGAAATTTTTTATTAATACATGTAGATTTTTTGATACACTATAAAGAGTTACTGTGTATATTAAGGCTGGTGTCACGTGAAATCGGACATTAACGTAACGGTAATAAAAGTTGCGTTTTTAATATATGATATCAGAAAATTTCTCATATCTTGAACTAATTACACGTTTTCATTCACGATTCACGATTCACGTTCAAGTTCAGAGTTTTTGATTAATATGACACGATTCTTACCAATATAACGATAAAACATCTCATATGACATTGTGTTACTGACTAAATGACAAAATTTTCGCAGATCGAAGATAATTTTGGGGTACGAATTAATGAATATCAAGCCATAAGAGGCAATATTAATGACAAAGTTGATTGTATGTGTTACCGGTTGGTGTGAAAAAATGGCTATTACGTTATTATTATGATAAGACCTGTTGGTTTGATTATGACATATTCAAACGAAATAGGGTGTTAGGTCTGAGAATTCTGGCACTGATTTCTTCACACCAGCAGTTTATCAACCATCATCTCTCCTTCAAAATACCCCTAAACTAATATTTAATTTTCGCCATTATATTTGATATTATATTTACTGTGCTATTATTATATTTCACTTGCGAGAGTTTAGAAAATAGTATTTTTCTTTAAAGATACACTCACTAAGTTTCGAGAAATAATCCTCAGTGACTGAAACTGACTCGTTATCTAAATAGCAGTTTTCTTATCGTCGTATCTATATTTTCGATCCTAATAGTATATAAAACTGCCAAAACCTGAAAACAACTCCGCGACAATGGCTTCGCCGCCAGACATCGCGAAGAGAGAGCGAGAGAAGAGAGAGCGAGAGCAGAGAGAGAGGGAGCAGAGAGAGAGAGAGCGAGTGACTTTTCAAAAGCTCGAAAGCAGAGCACAAGAGAAGCTTCAAAAACTTCAAGGTCTAATACCTAAAGAGCCAATAGCTTTTCCGGAGCGCGCGAAAGGAAGTAATATATATAGTCCGAATGAAATAACACCGAACGAATTTGAAAATGGATTCGACGAGTGGGCTACATACTTTGTAGACGATCCGCCAATACCACGGCCCCAGAGTCATCGGTGGCTCTGGCAACCGCCGCCACAGGTATTTATTCTTATTATGTGTTTTAGAGAGTACGATGAACGTGACAGACGAGTTTGGCGATGGTTTTACGCGATAATTTTAAATTCGTATCTTTTTCTTGGAAAAATTATTACAAATATTGAAGTACTCGAATACACATTAAATCTCTCAAGGAATACTCGTGTCTTTTGATAATGTGTTGTTTCTAAAACTCTTAAAATGTTATCATGAATCGTAAATTTTACAGAAAAAGGAAGTTCCTCAAATACTGAGAGACATAGAGTCGCTGAAACGCACACTCAATATCTCAGAGATTCAAATCGGGGTGACGGATTTGACGCCTCCGGAAATGCGTGTAATGTCATCCGCCAGACAACAACTTCCACCACAAGCACAACCTCAACCTCAACCTCGATTACCCCAACCGCCGCCTAATACTCGTCAGTCAGAAAGAGCGCCTGATACGAAATCAGTCAACCAAGAATTGAAATACAAAAATATTCAGGCAGAAGTTAATAACATGTAAGATAATTTATCTTTAGATCTGTTATTATTCATGATCTTCTAATAATTATGTCATTTCTCAAACAGTATCGCGGAGGCAGCACGAAAAGAAAGGGAAATGGCTGAAAGAAAGAAAAGGTTAGAATAAGACGATATATTTAAGCATTTAAACAAATTATTTATAAAAGAAACTAATGATTTTTTAATCTTTGTTATTACTGATAACTAATAGAGAAGAAGAACGTGCGGCAGAATTAGCTCGCCGTGCAGCAGCTGTACAGGCGCAACAAATACAAAAGCCATTGCGACCATTAGAACCAATATCATCTTTAGGACGTAAGGGAACCAAAGAACCAAAGAAAGGATTGATTGACACAACCAAAAGGGTACCAACTCGCCGAACATCTAATGCCTCTGCAGCAGAAGCCAAGTCAGTTGTAGCACCGAGCAACCGCTCCAATGGAAAGGGGAAAAATAAATTGCATTCAGAGGTATTTTTTTATTATTAGTCAAATAATTTAATATGTCTAATTCATTTAATGTAATATTTATCGCTATAAATTTTAAGGATGAAGGATTGGACGTCGATATTACAGCAGAGCAACGGCGACTATCAGATCTATTACATTCGGGTATGATTAGCCCTACACTGTCCGAACTATCATCATTACCATTACCCAAGAAAAGGCAACAAAAGTCTGGTATAGATAATATAAACACGCTAAGAATTGGTCCAAATAGAGGCCGATCGCGGTCTCGATCTCCTATTAGACGACCAGTATCACGAGCCCGATCTAGAACTCCTGAAACAGTCAATGTTTCCGATACACGTAATAGTAAATCGGTCAATGCTACTACTTCTGTCAGCGAAAAGAAAAAATTGACTATTAAATCATCAACAAGCAAACAATCACGACCGACCACAAAGCAAACTGAAGAGATCACGGAATCAGTAAATGCTACACCGACTGTTACTGTTGCTACTGACTCACCAAAGAAGAAGGGACGTAAATTAGCAGACGACAATACTTTAGCTCCAGCGCGGAAAGTACACAAGATTTCTGCAGATGATAATGCAGCCTCGAGATCTGCCAATGTCAGTCAGCAAAAGATAAATGCTGTTGATGCGACAATAGCTTCTGTCGTTAATCTGGTAATCTTCATTTTCTGGTTATATATTTACAAAGCCAGGCAAAATATTTTTTGTTTTCATATCACTGTTCCCATTTCATGTCCTGAATTTTGCTTTCATTGTAGCCATCCAAAAACTCAAACGCGCGAAGTCTTGTAATAAAGTAACTGAGTATTTTCTTGTCAAACTTTGCTTTTTTTTTAATCTTTGACTTAATATAATAATATTCATTATCATCCTTTTCATAGATTTAAAATTCCAGCGAAGACTATCGTTAAGATGGACATCGATAAACAGAAAGACGTCCAAAATGAACAGAAAGGCGAGAAACAATCATCTAATAATGATCAACGAAATAAACAACAGCAAAAAGATAATCAGAACGACCAAAAAAGCAATAATAATGAACACGTTAAAAACGAACAGCAAAAGATCGTTAAGAAGGAAATGATCATGCCTAACAATAATGAGCACGTTAAAAACGAACAGCAAAAGATCGTTAAGAAAGAAATGGTCATGCCTAACAATCAAAAGATTAGCAATAATAATAGCAAGGAGAAGGAAGTGTTCGCAGACGAGCAAAAGGACAATAATAGTAATAATATTAATAAGAAGCAGAAAGTACTGCAAACCGAACAAAAAGACATTATTAAACAGAAGCAAGAAGTGGCGAATGAACATAAGATTAGTAGTAAACAGAAGGAAGTGGCTAATGAACAAAAGGACATTAAGCAAAAGGAAGTGGCAAATGAATACAAGAATGGTAAACAGAAAGATGTGGTAAATCATCATAAAGACATTAAGCAAAAGGGTGCAGTAGTAACAGTAAAAAACGAACAAAAGAACATTTTGACTAAAGATTCAATAGAAAAGAGTAATATTAAAGTCTATGATCGACAGAAAGATCAAAAGAACGACGCGAAGAATAGTGAAGAACAAAAAGAATCAGAGAATAATTATAATCATAACAATAATAATAGTAAGAAGAATATGAACTTTGAAGAGTCAGATGATAGACGAAAACGGCGGAGATTGGTTGCTGACTCAACTGAAATAGACTTGGTGTCTAATTCGATTCCGGATAAGAGCACACTCGACTCGAATGCTAAACTTAATAATAATCTTTCTAATCTGGCTGACGCAAACAACCAACAATCTAATTCTGCAGACTTTTTGACGATAAAATCAACAGTAATTAATGTGAAGCCGGAAACTGATAATTTCTTTCTAAATTTACACGGAAAATTATACGAACCGCATTCTTCTGAATCAGCGACCAAATCAAAAGATAATATAACAACGTCAACATCCTCAAAGTCTCTAGATGCCAAAAATAATAGCAACACTTCATCATTAACACGAAGTTCAATAGCAAATTCTCATTCAAAAGACCGAAAAGATGATAATTCCACACGGAAAATAGTAGAGAAAAAGGAAACAACGCCCTCTAAATACTCGAAAGAGAGAACGGAGAAAGAAGAATCAATATTGCGAGGTTCAAATGACAAGAAGGAGCCGACACCATCGTCAAAAACTTCACGAGAAAGAAAAGAAAAAGAAGAGACTCTATCTAAAAGCCTAGGTGAGAGAAAGGAATACAAACCTTCAAAAGATCGGAAGGAAGAAACGACCTCGTCGCGACTATCTAACGAAAAGAAAGATGAAACTTCGTCTCGAAACTCAAATGATAAGAAAGATGAAACTTCGATGCGTCATTCAAGCGAACGAAAAGATGAAATCTCTTCACGTCATTCAAGCGACAGAAAAGAAGAAAACTCGTCGCGTCATACAACCGAAAGAAAAGATGAAACGTCTTCACGCCAGTCTAGCAATCGAAAAGAATCAATATCGTCCTCCTCGCGATCTTACAAAAGAGACGACACATATTCATTTAGAAGCTCAACAAACAGACGAGAAGAATCATATCCTTCCCGAAATTCAACAAGCACAAGAAGAGATGACGCTTCTCGTAATTCTTCAAACAAAAGAGACGAAACCTCTTCACGAAGCTCAATCAGAAAAGATGAAAGTACATCTCGAAATATAAGTAATAGCAAGGAATCAAACCCATCACAAACGTCAAAAGAGAAAAAAGATGATAATAATTCATCGTCACGTACCTCGAGTGATAAAAAAGTGGCAGCGGATACAAGACAATCATTAAACGATAAAAAATTTGCAAATAATTTATCTTCATCAAATCAAATTCAGTCATCCTCCTCGAAGACGGACGATCCTGGTAATAAAAAATTTATCAAATCGTTTTCTCAAGTTTCTTTATTCATGGTGTTCTGAAATTTCACATTCATCATATTTTCAGTGACTCCCAAGAATACAGAGGATGAAGTTCAAAAGTAACTATCTAAGAATTTTGATTTCTAATTCACGCTAAAAATAATAATTTCATCTTGTTTATAGATACGCGAAAATCGGTAAAGACTTCAAACACGAAGGAACACGAAAAATCAACGAAGCACTAGCAGCAAAAGCAAAAATCACCGCGGAACAACATCGTGTACAAGAGGAACTCAACAACGCAAAAAAAGTAGTTTCCGAAAGAGATTCAATTCTCAAAATGAGCGGCAAATTGACATCGGCCGAAGCTACGAAGTGTAAGGAGGACCTTAAGAGGGCACAAAAAGTGTACAAAGAAAAAGAAGAAAATTTGGCTTCAGTCGATGCCAAATTAAAAAGCTGGACGATCGAATATACGGCCAATTTGAAGGTGGCCTTCCGAGACCTTGCCAAGTCCCTGAGCGCGTTCACTAGGATGTGAGTTTTATGTTTATCTAAGATTAAATGTTATTTATTTGAAATTTATTGATTTATATATATTATGTATTAAATTAATTTCTAGGTATGCTTGCCAGGTAGAAGTGTATATGAAGACGACGACTAAAGGCCACCAAAGGCCCCCTGAACTTCCTTCAGGTTCTCTGGAGAGCTTGGTGGCCGAAACCATTTCTTGGGCTGCAAAGAACAACAACAGAGAGTTGGAAGGTCTCAGGTAACAAGAAATTTATTGGTTAATCTTTTATAATAATAAATCTGACTTTATGAAACTATGATTAAATATTTTTGATTATTCTTTTTTAGCCTTGCCCTCCAAGGTCTGATAAAGACACAGGAAGCAAAGTGCAAACCTCAATGGCTTGAACTTGCCTCTAGCCTTGCTGACCTGTTGGAGACTTACGAATGAGCATTCCAACTCTGAGGTGAGGTAGGAGTTGAGAAAAGAGAAAAAAAAAAGAAAGGAGGCTAATAATAATTATTCAAAGAATATTTAGTCATATCAATATAAAATATAAAATATAAAATAAAAAATATAATATTTAATTCATTGCCTCCTAATTTGTCTAGTTTTATTATTGTTATAAATTATCTTGTGTGAATATATAATTGTAATAGCAGTATTAGAATCAATTATTATTTTTTTCTTTTAAATCCGCGTCCGTCCCACCAATGATAATTGTTGAGTTGAAACTTTTCCAGAGCGCAGCGACATTCTCAAAGTCTTTACCGACTGCAGTGACACTATCCAGGTTTTTGGATAGCAGTGCCATGTTCGTGTTGACTTGTTCGATACCCTAAATTTTTTTATGCGATATATAGAATAAAAATTTTATTTTGTGCAAAAGCATAGCTACTATAGTATTACCTGAAGAATATTGTTGAGTAAATTGTCACGCTCTTTTTGGAATAGTGTATGCTCGGTAATGGTATTATTAATATTAGTTGACCCCATCGTTCCTAATTGCAAACGTGGTTTCAATTTTACGCGAAAGACGTGTTGATCTATCAAATATTTATAATAAATCCAGTAGTATGCTCGAAGTGTCATTTTGATTTGGAGTAATAGTCGTATGGTCATTGATTGGACTTCCATTAATGAATTGTTTAACAACCTCTTGGTCGGAAGTTTTTTTCGTTATATTGAGACTCCATAAAGGTTTCCTTTTGTTGTATTTTTTGTTATATCGAGGTTCGACTTAAACTTGTAGTTTTCTGTTCTACAACTGCAAAAACTGTTCGTAGCATTACAATTTAACTTCTTTACGCGATTAAACAAAAAATACTTCAATAATATTTTTAGGATAGGTTTTTTTACATGAATATAAGATTCTAAGCTAGATTTTTTGAGATACGAAAACACTACGCTACATGTATAAGCAAGTTTTTAAAGTTACAATACAAAGCTTACTAGTTTTTCGAATTAGCGTCTAAAGAATTCAAAAATTGTTCAGAAATATAAAGATTTTGTTGATAATTTAATACATTTTTTAGGCATATGCATTTTAAACCAAGAAAGAACTTCTATATTTTCTTGCATTCGTAGGCATTCTTTGAAAAAAGTTTTTTTTTTAGTTTAAATATACAGACAAACCCCCTAAATCCACCCTCTATAAGTGCATACCCTCTCTAAATGCACAGCATGGCTGAGTCCCAGCTCATAAGAGCTCTATATATTTTGTCCTCTATAAATGCACGCTTTACTATGGGCCCAAGGGGGGTTTGTCTGTACATGTAAAGCGAATTAGTGTTGGCAACAACGCCAATTCTGAAATGCCTAGACAACTCAAATGACGTATCGTAATAAACAAAAGGATTTAATATCTTCAATTACAATATTACATATTGATATGAACTAATTTGCCCTTGTCAGTCAGTCTCAATTTCTGACTTGTCAGATAAAAAGCAAAAACGAAGTAATTCTGAATAATACAGAAAGAACAAACGAAAATATTTATCACTTGAAAGTAGTCATTACCAAGCGTGATGAGGCGTGGAATATAATTCTATTAACAACGATAAAGAATAGTAAGGCCGTTACCAAGTTGACTTTCAGTTTAACATAACATCCGAGTTAACCAATTATTAATAGCTAAATTTTTTCCATAATTCCAACAAATGTTTTTAACATAGCGGTATTTTATATCGTTATATTTTACAACACAACCATCAAAAAACATAGTTATTGACACTGCTTCTGTCGCTGAACGAATTGTACATGAATTGAATGGTTGTTTTGCGTTATTTATTATTTTCCTTAGAACGCCAGATTTAGATAAAAATTACATATCGATATGTACACTCACGAATCGATGTATCGAGAATCTACGATTTTCGTACAACGATACGGGACATATATATATATTAGTGTATAAAGCTTAATACAGTCACATCACTATGTGCACCCCTAGGGACCTGATACAAGCATGCATTTATAGAGAGTGTGCATTTAGAGAATAGGTTCAAATACAAGGACTTATAGTTTGGGACCGGGTACATTTAGAGAGTGTGTGCACTTATGGCGGGTGGGTGCATTTAGAGAGATCTCACTGTAGTTCTTTTTTTTTACTCGATGAGTAATAGAATACACTATCTCACACACGAAATCAAATGCTCAGCAATTACTGTAAAATATTTCAAATGCCTTATGGAGAATCCTTCCCTACGATAACTGATCACATTGGACTTGGTATTACGGTCGATTTGCGTAATGAATTTACTACGTATGAAAGCCCCTCTTCATTCATGCTAATAATGCATATGTAACAGTTAACACTTATCGTTATTGTTTAGAGGTTAATTAAAAACCAGTTTATTTTTTTTTCCATTCGCTATGCATTAGGAACATATGGCTGATCTTACTCTCTCATTATCTAAAAATTCCTAAATTAGCAAATTAATCGGAGCTCTAGGCCGTTGAAGTTTTAATTTATTAAAATAACTTATTCATTTTATGTTCGCACAGCTTTTGATAGGGTTAATAAGTTTGAATATTTATTTTCTATTCAATCCAAATTTTATTAGACTAACTTGATTCGTTTTTTATCCCGTATCTTTTTGTTTCGGATTTAACAATTTTTTCGCTAGTAAAGAACCGAAAATTCGATAAAGAACCGGAATATAAGTCGGATAAAAATTGCCAGACCCGGAAAATTCTTAATTCGCTAAACATACTTTAATTGAATATTTGCTAACAAAATCATGAAAACATCCAAGATCCAAATGTTGTTAGACTAAACTTTTTTTTTCAAAAGCTGTGATATATTTTAAAAAATTAAAAAGCTTCAACGGCCTAGAACCAGTGTTGAAAATTTGGTGTTCTCATCGAGATCACCAAATATACATCATATCTCATTAATATACATACAATTTGCAGTGCACTTTGTGTTCTCAATAGGGAACTTCGAGTGAGAATTTATGGTATTTTAGAGATATCAGTCATACAGTAGCTCTCAAAATTTTCTAGACTTTTTATCCGTCAATATTAATCTAAAAATTTTCAATTAGTAAATTTCTCACATTGAACAACTTTTTTTCTTAGACAAATCCTAACATGGACCACTAATTAAAAATGTTCTCTATGAAATCCACTTATGCATCGAGATTTAAGATCCCGAAGGTCTGAATCTCTGCTAGGAGCATTAATTCGACTATTTATTTATTAACAGAAATTAGGATCTAAATTTTGAGCCAATTTTTATGAAAATTGGTATGTAGGTAGATTTCGTAGAGTAGAACGTTTTTAAATTAGGATTTTTATATTTTATCGCATATGCTTTATAACGACATAGTCCCCATTTACTATAAATATAGGGGTCCTAAAATTTTTAAGGTTATATTTTTCAGTCCCCACTACTAATAAATCTGGGTCCCGCTATAGCGCTATATTATAAAAACCATTTGACTTAAATCGCTCAATTTCACAAAAATGGGTAAAATAATCTGTTGTCAATTTATTTTAAAAAAATATTAGACGTTTCGAGGTTTAAAATGAATACTTGTTTATTTTATTTAGATTAACGGAGATAAAAATTTTGTTTGCGTATTCCATTTCTTCTAAAAATACTAAAATTAGTAAATTAATCGGAGTTCTAGGCCGTTGAAGTTTTTTAAAATAATAACTTGCTATTCATTTCATACTAGTATATGTTCCCACAGCTTTTGAAAATGGATCTTGGTTGATTTCATGATTTTGTTAGCAAATATTCAAATAACGATAAAGTATGTTTAGCGAATTAAGGATTTTCCGAGTCTGGCAATTTTTATCCGACTTATATTCCGGTTCTTTATCGAATTTTCGGTTCTTTACTAGCGAAAAAATTGTTAAATCCGAAACAAAAAGATACGGGATAAAAAACGAATCAAGTTAGTCTAATAAAATTTGGATTGAATAGAAAATAAATATTCAAACTTATTAACCCTATCAAAAGCTGTGCGAACATAAAATGAATAAGTTATTTTAATAAATTAAAACTTCAACGGCCTAGAGCTCCGATTAATTTGCTAATTTAGGAATTTTTAGATAATGAGAGAGTAATATCAGCCATATGTTCCTGATGCATAGCGAATGGAAAAAAAATAAACTGGTTTTTAATTAACCTCTAAGCAATAACGATAAGTGTTAACTGTTACATATGCATTATTAACATGAAAATGAAGATGGGCTTTCATATGTAATAAATTCATTATGCAAATCGACCGTAATACCAAGTCCAATGTGATCAGTTATCGTAGTGAAGGATTCTCCATAAGGCATTTGAAATATTTTACAGTAATTGCTGAGCATTTGATTTCGTGTGTGAGATAGTGTATTCTATTACTCATCGAGTAAAAAAAAAAAGAACTACAGTGAGATCTCTCTAAATGCACCCACCCGCCATAAGTGCTCCCTCTCTCTCTCTAAATGTACCTGGTCCCAAACTACAAGTCCTTCTATTCTCTAAATTCACACTCTCTATAATGCATGCTTGTATCCGGTCCCTAGGGGTGCGCACATAGTGATGTGACTGTATTAAGCTTTATACACTAATTTATTTATGTCCCGTATCGTATACGAAATCATCGAATGAAAGTAAGAGATTTATTTGGTTATTTGTATTGGTTTTGCATACTATACATTACAAAACCAATTCAAAATATTTTTGTATTAACATTGCCCTGCGTAAAGTATACATCCCAGATTTTTAGTTTATAAAAAGGGAATAAAGATTCTGTTAGAATTTCCTCACAACTCATACCAATAAATTTAAAACCTTTTTTTGAATAAAAAATGAATCAACAAAATCCACAACGGTTGCAACAACCTCAATTACCACAGCCGCCGTTACATTCTGATACAATGCAAATAATTATATATGGGACTGATGATCTTTTCAACAACAAAGCGACTACATCATCGAATCAAAATAATGTTCCAAGAATACTCAGGGAAGCTTATCGTCATTAAAATAAACTTGCAAGAAATTAATCGCTTAACAGACAAATCTGTTCACATAAAACTTCTTAATTAGGAAGTAAATACAAAATTCAATTTGTAGCATGCATCGTATCGATATTTGAACTTGTTTAATATATTTCATTAAATACCCCCTTCGTTTTCATATTATTTGTATAATTGAATTATGTAAAAATCGAATTTCTATGTCTCATATCGGAAAGGTTTGATTGTAGAGGTAATGAAAAATCACTTTTTCTGAAAAGATATGATTTTTATAGCCAATCACATGATTTTCATGAATATTTTAAAAATGGTCCAAGTTTTCAGAATAAAGTTGTTTTGTTATTTCTAGATTATCAAGAAGGACACTGATGACCTTTTATTTTAATATACAATATTATTTTGATTCTTAAAATTTGCAAGCCATTTGTCTTAATGGTTTTGAGCACAATTATTTTCAAAACTGAAAACTGAAACTTATTCTTGTTTTAAAAACAAATTACTAATTATTATTTTTTGTTTAGAATTTCTATAACCGTTAACTTGATAAATACAAAAGTTCTATCAGAGCTCGTTATAATAACACACTTTTAAATGAATTTTATCGTGCTAGTTCCAATAGAATACTTTAAAAAAAGTATAGCTATATAACGAATAATTATTGTAATAAAATTATATCCCTTTTAAAGCATATTCTTGGAGCTGGCACTATAAAATTCATTTAAAAGTGTATTATTATAACGAGCTTTGTATTTGTTTTAAAAATATTGGTTGGTTAATATATAATATTTTAATATTTAATTCAAGATTTTTTTTTGCATTATGATAAAACTAAAGATAAATTTCACATAAATTAACTCATTTAGTAAACTTTATGTCTTTATCAAAAGCTCAAGTCAATGCCAAAATTTATTTTTGCAATATATTCAGATACAAATAATATAATTTTTGAATATAAAAATTCTGTATTCTCTTCATTCTCTGCGTTTGGAAAATATAGATGAACTTATAACTAGTATTCTCAGCATGATTAATTTCTTCAATGAATTCAAATAATTTATTATTACTCTTGCTAATTGCATTTTCAAGTTAATTTTACTAAGAATAATTTTTTCCAAAATAATCAAGGAATTCCTTTTTACTATAAAACAAATTTTTAACTTTTGCTTTTTTGAAATGATTAAAATTCTAATTCTATATATTTTAATTTTTTTCAAGCTCACACTAATATATATTTTTGTCCAGTTATATTTATCAAAATTCCTGCAATAATCCTTTCTAAATAACAAATAATAATTGCTTTAATATCAATTTTTTTGGTTTTTTGTTATTTATAATATATCAAATACTTTGACTATACAAGTATAAAACAAAAATATTTGTTTTATAAGCACACAAGACTTTTTTTTATTGAAAATAATCAGAAATATTATAGTATATAACTATATTATTTATTGTACAAATAGATAAAATAAATAATAACTGAAAATATTTTTACAATTTTTTAATATGTAATTTTATTTTTATAAAAAATAATTTTAATTAAGTTATGATAATATTTGCAAATAAACAAAATAAAAGATTCAGATATTTTTTCTAAAAAATGAATATTTTTAGATAGTTAAAGAATTCTTTTTATTTATTAATTTTTGTATTCTTTAAAATTTTTCAAAAATTATTATCAGTTTTAATTTTTTTATGCTTTCTAAAAAACTCTGTATAATAAAAATAAATAAAATACCAATTAATAAATAATAATAATAAAGTAATATAAACTTAAAATATTAAAATATAATTATAATATTTATCTTTATTATTAAGTTTTTTAATTAATTCTATAAGTTTAATAATTAGTTTTGTTATAAATTCACATTTTTCAAGATTATCTTGCTTAATTTAAGAAAAGCTAGATTATTAATTTTTTTGTTGTAAAGAACTTGAAAATTATCTTTTTTAAGTCTTAGATTTTGTTTTGTAAAAAGTGATAAAAGTCTTTATATTTTATTTTTTTATTATATTGATTGTAAAAAAAACTTTTGCTTCAATAATAAAAACAAATATAATTATTTATATATTTTAATAAAAAATTACAATTTATTATTTTTAATTATATTAAAATTATTATATTAATATTATTTAAAATTATTATTATTTAATTTGTTGAGTTAAAAATTATATAATATTAATTTTATAATAATTATAATACAATTAAATTTCTTTATAGTTATTACTTGCAGAAAGCAAAATTTGATAATTATAAAAAAAATATTAAATAAAAAGATAAAATAATATGATTATAGAGAAGTATAACTATAAATATGTGTGAATATAAAGGAATTTGAATATATATAAAAATTAAAAACAACTAGTTACATAACTAATTTCAAAATTTTAAATATGCATTTGATCTTATAATTTTGAAATTAGAATTAATAAACTTATAAAATTTTGTATAATAACAAACTTTTAATCTTAAGTTCAAAGTTAAGAACCAATAAAATTGCAGTATTTTATATAATAAACTGCAAATAATTTGTACTTAACTCTTGTAATCAATTAGAATATGATTGGTTATCATGTGATATTTCAATACTATTTCATTTATTAATAACAATTAATAATTTTAATACTTATAACTTTTTATATATTTTGAATTTAAAGAAAAACTAATTGTTATTATATTTATTCAAGTCTTTTTATCAAATAATGATAAGTTTTTGGTGAAAAAATTGTTTGAAAAAAAGTAATAGTAGTTTGAAATTCTTTGCTATCTTTAACTTTTATGCACTATAATTAGTTAATAACTGAGTTATTACTTTTTAAAGTTACCAAATATTATTTTAGTTGAATTCAATTTGGCTTTTGAACTCGATATTTTGACAATCATCGATTAGAATCATTTGAAAATATCACTAATTGTCTTATTTAATCAAGAGGCGTCCTTAAATTTAAGAAGTGGATACAATAACATCATAATGGAAGTTTGGTTAAGAACAAGTACATGGTTATATACGAACGGGTTTTAATACATCAGTGTTGGCACTGGAATCTTAAAAAACCGCGCCAATTGTGGAGTACTGTAATTATAAAATTTAAAATTTCAGTACAAAAACCAAAATGACTGGTTATAAGACTGACAACACTGATAAATTATAGTTTATTGACATTAGTTTGTGAAAAACATTAGAAGTTCATATACAATAACACTACTAATAATATTCATTAAATAATGTAAATTTAATTTTTTTTGCATTAAATCTTAATAAATAAAAAGACTAGCATAAAATGCTTTTTCGAGTAAATATGAATTCAATTTAATATTTGAATATTAGCATTTGATATATGATTATTGTTGTATATTTGGATAATTAGCAGCTCGTTTCCTGCGCAATCAAGGTTTTCCATATGAAATGCAATTAGAGAACATTTAACGAAGTTCATAGCGATAGTGGTGAGAAGACTGAGTAAGTCTAGCAATGAAACATTCGATTATTGCTCCAGCTTGAGCACTAGTTATTTTAAAGAAATAGCATTTATTCAAGATTAACAGTTGTTATCAACGTCATGGGAGCGGGCTATTTCGTTGATACATACGAGGGTAGATAACTACGGGGTTTAAAGTTAATAATCATTTTTTCTACGACCAATGTTGCTAACAACGTGGTGTTGATATTATCGGGTTGATAACGGAAGTTTTTTGTCATCCTATCGTGTCAAATAACAATAAAATAATAATCGAGCCATTCAAGGATTCATGGCCTTGCTTTAGATCAATAATAGTGAATGTCAAAGAATAGTGAAACCATTCAATTCACTCGTGCCTTTGACATCACTTTTCTCGTCCGTATTTTTATTTAAATAAGAATTCATGATTTCTTGGTCATTTGTATATCATGTGACTCGTTAAAATCAAGAATTCCACGTGAAAAGATATTTTAAATAAAAAGTAATTTGAAATCGAACTTTTTTCTATATTAGAAAATATATTTTTGTGAAAAAATGGTAAAATCATATTTACGTTACGAACCATTAAAGACTTTTGGGATAATATCCAGCTGGTTATCCAATATTATATATGATGCTACCGGCAAACTCGCCATATCGCCGGCATTAGAAGATGTGGTTATTTGGGACTTAAAAAAAGGCATCAAGGTTATTATTTATTATTCATAGTATAATTAATCAGGGATTTGATCAAATTGAGTTTAACGAGTAACATTGGAAAAAATTTGATTTTTAAAAAAATAGATTGGATGCTGGCATGATGCAGATAACAAATCGGAAGTCACAGTAATCCAAAAAAGTCCAAATAAAGTTGATTATGCTGTGGGGTAAGTATTATATAATACTTAAATTTTACATAAATAAATTTTACGATATAATTAACTTTATTAACGGTTTTCAGATACTCTGATGGATCTATTAGAATATGGAACATAAAAAGTTCGATTTTACCGGTTATTTTTAATGGTCATCGAGGCGCAGTTACAGCTCTCGCTTTTGACAAAAATGGTACACGATTAGCTTCTGGATCAAAAGATACTGATTTAATTGTATGGGATATTGTAGGTGAAGTTGGGCTTTACAGGTTGAATAAATTACAATTTCTTAGTTTCTCTCTTTATATATTATGTTACTAATATTTTTTTATGCATAGAATGCGTGGTCACAAGGATCAAATAACTGCAATTCGGTTTCTGCAAAAGCCTTTAGTCGGAATCGAAAACTCAGATGATGTCCCTTCTTCATCTCCTGGGTTCATTTTATCCTCCTCCAAAGATACACTCTTGAAATTATGGGATCTGAATACGCAACACTGTGTTGAAACGGTAGTAGCACATCGAAATGAGATATGGGATTTTGATGTGTCTAGAGATGAAACTATGCTTGTGACTGGAAGTGGAGATCCAGAATTAAAAGTTTGGAAGATAAATCATCAAGTTTTGGCTAATGGAATTCTTGAATCTGACGAACAGCAGAATGAGGATGATAACAATGAGGTGTGTTTGTTTGCATGCAATTAAAAATATACAAGTGGTATTCAATTTAACAAATTTTTATTTTTTGATACAGAATCAAAAAGCAATTGTTTTTTATGGAAATGTCTCTAGACAAAGTAAAGAACGAGTCACCACATTAAAATTTCATCCAAACACTAATTTCTTGGGTGTGCAAGGTTCAGATAAGTTCATAGAGATTTTCCGGCTACGAACACATGAGGAAATAAAAAAAAAACAGCATCGACGTCGTAAGCGAGAACAAGGAAAGAAGCTTAAAGAATTAAACAAGAAAAAAGAAGAGGGAAATTCAGAGATTGTTACACCTTTAGAATCAGATGTTAGAGATGAAATACATGCTTCAGATGAAATCACTTTACATGAAATCATTAGAACTACTGCAAAAGTCCGATCATTTGATTTTGCATTTATGGAAGATATTGCGAAAACGGAGGTTATACAGGTACTGGATTTATTTATTCATTACACATTATCATTTTTTTTTCTGAACAAATAATGATCAATTGGATTTCACACATTAGCTTCTTACTTCGCTGAAAAATAATATGCTAGAGGTTTATAATTGCTATTTGCCATCAAAAAAAGAAGAAAAACACCCACATACAAAATTATTTTCTATTGATATCCATGGTCATAGAAGTGAAATCAGAACACTGGCGTTGAGTTCCAATGACGAATTATTGTGCTCCGCATCGATGGGTGAGTGAATATAGAATTTTGCAATTTAACGCGAAATAATGAATTTTAATATTTTTTTAAATTAGATATGCTCAAAGTGTGGAATGTTAGTACGACGTCTTGCATCCGCTCTCTGGAATGCGGCTATGCATTATGTAGCGCATTTATTCCTGGAGATCAATATGTGGGTATTGAATTCATTTTCTTATCTTTTTATATTTTAACTAAAAATCCTTTATCAAATTAAAATGTAAAATTAAATCTTTAAGGTTGTAATTGGAACAAAAACAGGAGAACTTGAATTATTTGATATTGCGTCTTCGTCTTTAATTAAATCAATAAATGCACATGATAGTGCTATATGGTCATTGCAAGTACAACCAAATCAGCAAGGTTTGGTGACTGGAAGCGCTGATAAACAAGTTAAATTTTGGAATTTTGAAATAAAGGAAAAAAGAAAATCCGATGAGGTGATATAATTAATTGATTCTCTGGTTTTTTTCATTTTGATATTTAACGAATTTATCTCTATTGTTATAGATATCAACACGACATCTCACACTAGTTCACAATCGTACACTGAAAATAACGGATGATGTACTATGTGTACGAATTAGTCCAAACTCAAAATTGATTGCTGCATCACTACTGGATGCAACTGTCAAAGTTTTCTATCAGGATTCTTTAAAATTTTTCTTATCACTCTATGGACATAAAGTAATTTTTTGAATCCTTTTTGAAAAATTCTTTTTTCGAATAATAATAGTAATCAGTGATTCATTCCTACACACACAGTTACCTGTTTTATCGATGGATATATCATCAGATAATACGTTACTGATAACATGTTCTGCCGACAAAAATGTAAAGATATGGGGTCTCGATTTTGGCGACTGTCATCGATCAATATTCGCACATCAAGATAGTATCATGTTTGTGCAATTTGTTGCCAATACACATTATTTCTTTACAGCTGGTAAAGACAAACTCGTGAAGTACTGGGATGGTGATAAAGTACGTCAATAATTTTTTCTTATTTTGTTTCTAAATTGTCTTTTTTTTTGTGGATTTATATAATATATTATTATTATTATTATCAGTTTGAAAATATAACGAAACTTGAAGGGCATCATGGAGAAGTTTGGGCCTTGGCAATAAGCAAAAACGGTGAATTCCTTGTATCCGCCTCGCATGATCGATCTATTAGAATATGGGAACAAACCGATGAGCCGGTATTATACATAATCTTTTTTTGCTAATAAGCAAATGATGGTTTTATTTCTAATAAGGAATAAAATAAAACATTGGCATCAATTAAAAGCTTTTCCTGGAAGAAGAAAGAGAAAAAGAAATGGAAGAACTATACGAATCGACACTGACCACTTCAATGGAAAAGACGAGTTTAGAAGATACGGTAGAATTGACATCTGCAGGGAAACAAACAATGGAAACACTTAAAGCCGGCGAAAAGATTATGGAAGCATTGGAGATTGCTGATGAGGATAAAAGTGCCATTGATAATTATAAACAAGTAATTTTCCAAATAATATCTCAACTATTTTTTGCTTACTATGGGTATATATGCCTTTGTGTATATATTATTCCTGTCTATTAATTAATTAATTTATATGTTTTTTGGTAGATGAAAGCCAAAGGCCATGCACATATAGCAGCACCACCGAAACGGAATCCAATATTATTAGCTTTAGGAAATTTAACCGCAGAACAATATGTTCTTCGAACAATAGAGAAAGTAAGGTCTGCAGAGTTGGAGGAATCATTGTTGGTTTTGCCGTTTGCAAAGGTGATTTCCTTGTTAGAATATTTGGATATATGGGCGAAAAAGGTTATTTTTTATATGGAATATATATTTGGGTCAATGATTGTAGTTTTTGTTGAATTTAATGACAAATTGATCATTCATTCATTGGTTGATTAGGAATGGAATATCGCGCTTGTATGTCGAATACTATTTCATCTTTTACGCGTGCATCACGATCAAATAGTCGCGAATCGAATTATGAGACCGATGCTTGATTCGATAAGAACGCATCTCCGGGCCGCGTTAAAACGACAGAAAGTAATTTAAATACTAACATGATTTTATTTTTTTATCTCAAAGATTTCAAACACAACAATAATTTATTCATCTTTTAAATACAATAAATAACAATAGGATACACTGGGATATAATTTAGCCGCAATGAAGTATATTAAGCGTGATTGGGAAGCTAATGCCACCGCGGAATTCTTTATGGACGATAATAATGTAGAGGGATTGGAAAATGTCAACGCTAGTTCGGCAAAGAAACGAAAATTCATAAATTTGACAACTGATTAATTTCCCTTATTTGTTACACACACTACTCTGAGATTAACTAATTTTTTGACGATACTCGGATTAATTGATATCAAGAAAAAAGTTTTCACAATGCTAAACTTGCTCGTTGCGCGTGTAATTCGAATAGAACTGGCAGTTCACATCGATAAATATAACAAGGCGGCCAAGAGGATAAATATATCGATCGATACAATTACCTAAGTATGTTAGAAGAGATGTAAAAGATGCGGTGGGCACTGTTACTGGTAATTGTTTCTTCACAGAATAAAGCTCTGCAAGAATTAAGCTTGTGTTAGGAAGTACATAAAACAGAAATAATCAAAACTTGCGATTGATGGTACTTTTACTCGATTATGTTAACTGAAAGTTTTCTACGTCATCAAATAAATGTAGATCATTTTAAATGTCCGCTGGCTGCTAGCAAAAAATGTTCAGATCACGTGAATCCGAGCTACCCGAACATTCGAACCAGTGTTTGGACATATTACATGATGTTAAAAAGATAACCATTTTCTTTATTACATATTTAAAACTAACAATACAAATTAACATAATTAAAATACAAGTCTTTCACGCTTTAATGCCCAAATATCAAAATTTTACAAAATCTTCATTATTTATCTCTTATGTTAATATGATCTTGAATTTTTATTATTTCACTGGTATATCATACCTAGTAGATATCAAAGTATCCTGTTAAATGGTTAAATTAGAGCTTTTTTCATAAAAATCTATTTCAATTGTTTTATATTTAGTTCAAGAATTATTTTAGAGTAATAATCAGTAATTTATTTCTGTTAAAAACAAGAAACAGACAATTATGTTGATGTATTGTCGTAAAAAAGATTGGTTTAAATGTTTGTCATTCTTTTTGATAATTAGATGTTTACAAAAAATATTAACTATTTAGATACAGTGAATGCTTGATACAATAATGTGATCGGGAAAAGAGATTTGATATTATTATATCAAGATATTACTTTATCGAAAAAATAAATACTATGAAAGCTTATTATAGTAATGAGATCAGGAGAAGAGATTTTGTGTTAGTATAACGAGATGTTATCTTAAAGAGTGTTACTGTAATGAGCGCTCACTGTATATTGAACATAAATATATCCAATTATCTATATCAATATGATATTTATTTTTTATACCAAACTCGATATCTACTAGTGCAATTAAAAATAAATCCCTAAACTATTCAAAAGGAATATAATTATAACCTAAACTAGTTTTGGTTATGTCTCTAAATTATATTATTAGTTTCAAAATCCATTTTTAAGTGCAATTACATTTCAATTCTTTTTAAAATTCTGTTATCAAAATGAAATTCATAATTTTTATTATATTATATTAGTTTATATTCAAAGTTAAAAACAAACTGTTCCACTAAGATTTAAGTTAGATAATCTATTTATGATTTATTATAATTATATTTATAATTATACTTGAAAATACACTAATAACTTTTTATAATTATGATAGTATGAGCTAAAGATATACATATATATTTGATTATATATATCACTATATTTGTTAATATTATATGTCTTAAAATACTTGCATTAAATATTTTTAAAAATTTATCTCTGAAAAAAATTACAAGCAATATTAATATTTTTGAACTAGGTTCATGTTTGTTACATAATCAAAAACTTTTTTATATAAAATAAAAAATTTGATTATTTTATCTACCTATAATTATTTATATCATTGTAATTCTATCAAAAATTCTATCAAAAAGTATTCAATATGCTCAAGATCTGATTGCAAAAAAAAGTGAAATTTATAATTAATAACATGTTTAGAAATCAGAATATCAATAATCTTATAAATATATTCTTTATACTATTTAACAATTCTCAAATATATAAAAATATCTTTTAGAAAATATATGTTAGTAAATTCATATTGGTAAGAGAAATCATAACTAAAAAAATTAAGAAAACTGACAAAAAGAACAATTCTAAAATATTAAATAAACTTATCAATAAATTAATTAAAAATTCTTATAAAAGTTCAGAAATTTTTAGTATAATTATATATATTTTCATATTATAATTGGATTTAACAAAACTTAAAATACTTATTTTTTTGTATCAAAATATCAGTAATACTAAATCTGATCATAACAAATTGAGTTGTAAAGTATTATTTTTGAATTATAAATATTAAAATATTATGAATTTTACAGAAAATTAAATTCAAATTAAATTATACAAGTTTGAGTTAATAATAATATTAAAAATAATTAATTAAAAAATAATAATTTAAAAGAGAACAAAAAGAACTAGAAAATTTTATGCTATTTTTTTTAAATCTAAAAAGAATAAAATATAAATTAAATTATTACATTGAAAAATTTTTAAATGTATAGTTTTGCATAAATCTTTGAATTCAAAAATCTATACAATTTTTGAATCTGATAACAATTTGTAATAAAAAATATATACAGTTTAACACAGATTTGTAAAATTATATATATGTACAAAACTTTAATATATTTTTGTAAAAATTTCAAAATAATATTTGTAATAAATTATATTATATATAGTAGTAATCAAAAAGAATGTAATACTTGAACTAAAATTTTTTAAATATTATTAGTGTTGTAATATATTATATATTATTTAATTATTTATTGATATATTAAAACAAAAGATTAATTAGGTAAGTATAATATTATTATTATGAGAAATAAGATTACTTGTTGAAATCTCTTAGTAATTATTAAAATTCTGTCAAAATTATAATAAACTATTAGTAAATAGCCTGCTAAAATTCTGATAAGTTTTAAAACCTGTTATAACTGAAATTTTAATTAACAATTAGTGTATAATCTGTTAAAATTATAACAATATTTTTCTGAAAGAGTTTAGATAATTATTCTTAATGAGAAACTCAATATTTATCTATAATAATGATATTTCTCTCATATAATGATAGTGTTTAATAAAGAATAATAATTATTATGAATCTAATTAATTTTTATTTAAAATATTTTAATTGATTCTTTATTATAAATTAGATTTATATTATAATATATACTTAATATAAATCATTTTATTAAGATTTAGCATATGTTTTATTTCTATATTTTAATTGATTCTTTTTATATATTTAATTTTTCTTTGTATTATATTGATATTATCTTGTATTATATTAAGTTTTCTTCATATTTAATTAGTTTTATTGTATAATAACAAAGAAATACTAATAGTATTTTAACATGTGTTAATACTAAAAATAATATCTCAATTAATTGCAACTTGTAGTACTCAATCAGAAAATTATAATTTAATTGTAAGAATTATAATCAAATTGTAAACTTATTTTTAATTAATATCAGATTTAAATATATAATACTTGACAAATTAGTATATTATTTGTGATATATAAGAATATATTAAATTTTAATTGATTCTTTTTGAAATAGAAATAGATATATAAGTAATATGTATTTTAGCTTAGAATCATTATCAAATTATGAAATAATCAAATTATTAATTCATATGTTTTTTAATAATATTTAATTGTAACTTATATTATTTTGATTTTTTAATTATATTATCTTAACAAAAAATTATTATTTGTATTTTATTTATTATTTATATTTATTATTTATATTATTATTATTTTTGAAATTTAAGAAATATCAAAAAGTTATTATATTATTTTTATTTTTGTGTTACTAATCTAAAAAAGATAATATTTATATTTAATTTATTTTTATATTCATATTTGTATTTTTATATAACTATTATTAATCAGTACTTTAGAAAAGCTTTGATAATTATTATATTTATATTTATATATATCATTATTACTAGTATTTTAGAAAAGTTTTAATAATTATTTATTTTAATTTTGTTAATTTCTTGTTAAAGTTATATTTAATTTTATTATTTTATTATTTGATATTTAAATTATAAGTTTTGATAGTTCAGTAATCTGATTTTTTACATAAATATAGTTATTTATCATATTTCAAAAATATTATTATAGATAATAACTCTGAAAATAGTAATAATATATTTATCTAGATAAATTTATAATAAAGTTTATTTTTAATTAATAAATATAATATCAATAAGATTTATTTAATAATTTAAAATCTAATTTATTATTATTAATTTCAATATTAAAATATTATAATATTTTTAAAAAATTAATATTGTATTCTTTTTAATTATTACTATATATAATATATTATTCCAGATAATAATAAAAATAGTAATTTAAAGTATAATATAGAAATTTTATTGTAAATAATCATATTATATTATTGTATAATGGAATTTCACATTAATTATTAGTTAAAATTATTATTTAATCTTATTAGATAATTTTGAGAACATATATTTATATTTTAATTAGTTAAGATCTTCTTATAATCAAATCTCTCTATAGTCATCATCCTCAGGAAAGCAAAATTTGATGACTATAGAGAGAATGTGACTATAGAGAGATTTTTTTTACTATATTTATATGTAAATAGGAAAGCAAAATAGAGTGACTATAGAGAGATGTGATGAATTTTTATGCTGAGTAGATCCTGATAACAATTATCTAGTTCATTTACAAGTGTTACAATTTATAGATGGACTTAGACTAGAAATTCACTTTTTCATTAATCCAACAAGATTTGTAACTTTGAAAGATACTATTAATATAGCTCAACTTTACAATATAAATTTTCAACAATATACTTAAATGAATGTTATACCTCAATATAATATATTAACTGCACCAAGTTTTATAACTATTTCATTCTTATCACAAGTACAAACTGAGAATGAAGTTAACAAATTGACTAAATAATTGGAAGAACTAAAAATTCAATTAAAAGAAAAAAATTCCAATTCCAATAATTCTAATAATAATAGAAGAAACAACAATAATAATAATACTAATAATGATAAATGCTCAATAGAATATTATAATTATGAAAAAATTGGTCATTTCAAGAAAAATTATCAATTCAAAAGAATTAATAA